CTAATTTCTATTTTAACTAAATTTGTAAATCTTAATGAATATTTAAAGCACATAAATGCAATGATTTTTCAAATAATATTTGTTTAGAATCATAGAAAAATATTTATATAGCGTAGAAAAGTGGGTTAGCTTATTTAGTTGTGTCTTTTAAATCTACTTACTGAACTACAAAATGTGTTCAATTTTTGAAAAGGAAATGATCAAAAATAATGAATATTAGATCATTATTATTTTTAAAATAAATCTGCATTTCTCAAAACGTTAATTGTAATTGACATGTAACAAATATTTTTTACTATGCAAACATAGTTGAAATTAGATCAGGTTTCTCAGACGTTTTTGATGATTAATTATACATAAATAAGCTAATATCCAGCCAATATAGTTATAAGAAAATAAAAATTGAATATAAATATAATAACTGAATATAAATTCAAAATATTTATTTTCAAATATTGGGGGGGCTCAAGATAGGCTTGAGCCCGAAGGGTTAAATATTGGGGGGGCTCGAGCCCGAAAGCCCATACAAGTCGCCGCCTATGTACAGACATATAAAATACAGACTCCAGTCAATACTCATGTCTGATGACATAACACATTACATGACATGACATAATGTAACATTACATTACTAAACTAAACACCACTCTGAAGGATGATGTTAACCTAATATTATGTAAGTAACCCGAAATGTAACCTAATAGTGCTGTGAAGTTCGGTTAATTTTCGGTAATTGAATATTTCGGTTTACAAAAGTAATCGGATAAAATATTTGATCACTTCTTCGATTCTTCGATTCCATTTGTAAAAATAACTTAGTGACCGTACATTGTTCCTAAAAAAGCTTGACTATCTTTTTTTTCACAATACCTCAGATATAACATGATATAAGATCTGGCATAACATGATACATAACCTGGTAATTCCAGTAACACCTGGTAATTGGTATATAGCATGATACATGACATGATATACAACATGATATACAACATGATACATCACACAATACAACCTGATATATAACACGTTACAACAGGTAGTCACTCTGCCCGAGTACATGAAGAAGAGGTTTGCCAGTGAAAGAATTCGGACATATCTGGCTGTTCTCTCACTCATGCTCTACATCTTCACTAAGATCTCCGTAAGATGGTGATGATGATGACGTGTGTGGTCTGATGTGATGATGATTATGGTGATGATGGTGTTGGTAATGATGTCGGTGGGATGATGATGTGAAGTTTTTAATGATGAGGATGATTGGGGTGAGTGTTTTTATGATGGTAATGAATTCTGTAGTGGTAATGTTGGTAGTGTGATGATATTTGTGATGCGTGGTGGTAATGGTGTGTTTAGTGGTGCGATGGTGATGATGTTAGTGATAAAAATGGTTTACTGTTCAAGGGGTAAGGAGATTAGGATGGTTATCATCTGCAAGAAGAACAAAAATTGATTCTGGTGAGAAAATTGATGTTAGAAATTCAATTAATAGGAGTGCTATATCAAAAAAATAAAGATAATGATAAAGATAATAAGCTTGATGATGATAATGATGTGGCTATGATAAGTGGGGATATTTCATTTTAAGTAGGCTTAGTGGTACTGATATAATGGAATGAACAAACTTATAATGATGATGATGACGACGACGATGATGATAAAATTAAATGATGATAATTAAATTAAATGAGGATGACTTTCATGATTTAGTTTAACAATGATAACACAATTTTATCACCAATTAATTAGTTAGTGAGTAACTCATCCAAACAGCAAAAAATCAACAACAACAACATCAACAACAAAGGCTTGATTAATCTTTGCTGTGAACTTATTCTGGGACCTTACAATTTACAAAATACTGTTTTATTAAAAAAAATTAAAGAATTTTTTTCATCATCTGGTTTCAAAACTTACAAACAATATCAATAAAAATAACTATTTTGATAACAATAACAGCAATAGCAATAATAATAATACAATGGACAATAGCATTAATTATCGTAAAAACCATGAAATAAGACATCAAAAATGTGAACAAATTAATAATAATAAGACGATAATTATATCAACGCTAATAATCATAAAATATGTAATATATTATCAACGGCAGCAATGTTAATAATAATAATAATAATGGATAAGTACGTAAATATGAATGATATTTAACAATGAAGTGAACATTGAGCCATAGATACAAAAAATGAAAACATTGATATAAAATTTTTCAGACATCCACCGCCAAAGATAAAGATATATAAACAGGAAATTATTATAAATAGGAAAATGGGTTTCTTCTAAATAGTGTAAACTTAAATGTAAACAAATGCTAAAAATAGCATAAACATTTAATCTGACAAAAATACATGAATTACAAAAATATCACATATCCAGTTTTGGTAACAATAGTAATAATAATGATAATGATAACAATATATAATAATAATAATGGTGATGATAATGAGAACCACAATAATAAGTTTAGCAATAACAATAATAATAATTGTAATAATATTACTAATGATAACAATATTTACTATGGTAATAGTTATTATTTATTATTTGTTAAACTTTTATGTTTATTATAACTTTTTGATTTGAGGTGAACTTGTACTCGGGAGCAATCTTCATTCAGCAAGCACTCTACTGGAACTTGTATCTGTCTGTGTTGTTGTTACTCGTTGTTACTGCTATCACAACTGTTACTGGTTGGTCGGTTGACTTGTTGATTGGTTGGTTGATTGACTGATTGGTTGGTTGGTTGACTGACTGGCTGGTTGACTGACCGACTGGTTGGTTGACTGACTGACTGGTTGGTTGTTTGGTTGGCTGGTTGGTTGAATCATCAAAAAAATTTTCCTGAAGTGAGTAATTGAATGAATGAAAATTAGTTAGTTGGTGGTTGTTTCAATTATAAGAGATTTTTTTATGAATTCATAAAAACATTGGTTGAAGGAATAAAAAAAAGTATTTGAAAGTGTTATTGAACGAATGAACGAACTAGTCAGTTAATGATAGAAAATGGACAAAAATGGTGATATCAATTTTATGATGGCTCATTAAATTTCCGGTGTATGAATGTTTGATGAATATGCAGTGTTGTCAATGCAGTAAGGATGATCATAATGACATTGAAGATATCATGTTACTTGACTTTATTTATCCCCATGTCCAATGTTCAACTAATTCACATAATAATTTACACTTGTAACTTATTACGTTCTGGAGCAAAATTTCCATCTCCTCTAAATGTTTCAAAATTTGTCGACCTTGTGTCACATTTAAATATTAGCTGCTACAAATTATTAACAATTAATATTCCAAATTATTTCCTTATGAAATGACTGCAGTTATGATGTCTTGCCCATTGAATTGATAATGTAGGTGGTTTGGCAGCGGTTATATACACAGACATGCTGCACACCTCCGTCATGGTTGTCGGTGCAACTGTCCTCTCTGTTCTCAGTGAGTATATCAATAAGCAACTTGATTAATCGTGGATTAATTGTTTCCTCTTTTTTTTATCTCTGTGATGATTAATAGGAATCATCCACTTTTAAATCGTCGATTTCGTTACCGTTTCATTAATTTCATTTCCATTATCCTTTCCCTGCTTTATAGCCTGTTTAATAGCATTTCTATCATGATCCTCATCACGTCATCATCATCATCACAGGCTTCATAGAGGTGGGCGGTTATGCTGAGCTGTACAGGAGGTACCCACTTGCCATCGCAACAAACATCTCACATCTCTCATCCTACAACAACAGCAACATCAGTCATGATCACTACATCAACAACATCATCAAAGCAAACGACATCAACAACATTATCAATGACATCTCTAATGACAGCAGCAACAACCTCACACTTTTTTTTACAAACAATTTTACTAATGTTATAACAGGTTAGATTTATGTTTTGTGTTACCATGTACGTGTTTATAATGTATATATAAATGTATATTGGATTAAGACTGTCAGAAATGCAATTATTGATGAAAATCACAGCATGTTCGGCGTTAGTTAAAAACCATCCATTAACACCAAAATAGCATCTTTGGATGTGGAGTCACTCTTTACGAATGTCCCTGTAAAGGACACAGTCAGCATAATAATAGATAGAATATACAATTCCAGTCATTCACCACTACCAATTCCAAAAGATGAATTAGATGTGCTGCTAAGAATATATACAGCCGAAGCGCCTTTTGTTGGCCCGGGTAACACACTATATCAGCAAATAGACGGTGTAGCAATGAGCTCTCCATTGGGAGAACTCTCGCAAAATTCTATGTTGGACATATCGAAGAAATGTTATTTAAAGAAGAACCAGAGCTAAAACTATATATATACTGCCGCTACGTTGACGATATATTTATTACATATGAAGATGATGATCAAATAGCAAGACTTCTACAACGACTAAATTCGTCAAAATTAAAGTTTACAATAAAAAATCATCTGACAATAAACTACCATTCCATCTGACAATAAACTACCATTCCTAGACGTACTAATACAAAATGTGCAAAATGAATTTAAAACCTCAGTTTACACCAAAGCAACAAACAAAGGTTTATGCCTCAATGGCAATATAGAATGCTGTCAAACATATCTAGAGAGCACGATTTCTGCCTTTGTAAACCGAGCCATTTTGTTGCATCAACGTTTAAACCCTACTTACCATGATGATCTTGTATTTCATAAAACATACTTTCGCCTTTCATATGGTACGTAAGGTTAGAAAATCATCTAAATTTATAGAGTTAAAGGGTTTGTGTGATTCTTATGTGATGATTTTTGTGAGGTATGATGTTCACTTACAAATTTATAGATGGCTTCTCTCACTCAAGGAGCAACTCAACCTGCGGCATGCCCAGTCCACATGCATGGGACATGTTGAGGGGGCCCACTGATCCTGATATGCCCTGGCCTGGTTTCTTATTGGGTCAAACTCCTGCTTCTATCTGGTACTGGTGTGCCGACCAAGTATGTTTTTCTCTGTGGTTGTTTTGTGGTGTGTACGTGTATGTGTTCATATTATATTGTTGTCATTAACAGATGATAGTTCAAAGAACATTGGCAGCAAAGAGTTTAAGCCACGCACAGGGTAGCACGTTGTTTGCTGGGTTCCTGAAGGTTCTGCCTGTCTTCATTCTTGTGCTCCCTGGCATGATCAGTAGAGTGCTCTTCACTGGTTCGTTTCCATTCTGGTCTGTATCGGTGATGAACTTTTGTTCTTTGGTATGATGATCATGATGATGACTATATTATGATAATTATAGCAAGATCAAAATGAAAAAGATGTTGAAATTGATAAGTGTGATGATGGGGATATATGTTTCAATTAAGTCTGATTGTTTATGCTGATTGCCTATTTATTTTTTTTCCATTTTTTAATAATGATACAATTAATTAGCCATTTAATCACTGACTGAAAACAGAGGAGGTGGCATGTATTGATCCAGACATCTGCATGAAAGTCTGTCAGAACAAGATGGGATGTAGCAACATTGCATTTCCTAAACTGGTGCTTGAGATCATGCCTGCTGGTTGGATTTAATTGTCTTACTCCGTTTTATCATTGTTAACATCAAGATGCTCGTGATCTTAATTTTTAAAATGGTTTTCTATTACAAGATTTATTATTCGTTTTAATTCAGTTGAATCAGTTAAATCTTCATCGTCTGTAAGACTACAATTTTAATTACCATCTTCTATAAGGATTGAGAGGAATCATGATGTCCGTGATGTTGGCTGCCTTAGTAAGCGACCTGGCTTCAATATTCAACAGCGCAAGTACTTTGTTCACTATGGATATTTACGGCAGATTCCGAAAACATGCTGCCAACAAAGAACTTATGATTGTGGGGAGGTAACAACTATTTCATAAAAATTTTAAATCGACGTTCAATTGATTTTAAATAATTTTGTCGATTGTTAACAAATGATATTGATGAAATACACAGATTGTTTGCATGCTTCATGGTACTGGTGGGCATTCTCTGGATACCCATTATACAAAATATGCAAGGAGCCCAGCTGTACATCTACATCCAGTCAATAGCTGCTTATTTGTCTCCTCCAATAGCAGCTCTTTATCTGCTTGCTTTGCTCTGGCCACGAGCCAATGAAAAGGTTTAATCATCATTTAAATCTTCGCTAGGATAGCTTATAATAACGTAAACTTGATTTTGTATACAGGGAGCCTTCTGGGCTTTGATGATTGGTTTGTTAATTGGGTCGGTTCGAATGATATTGAACTTTGTGTACCCTGACCCACATTGTGACGAATCAGATGATAGAAACATCCTCATACGTTTGCATTACATGTATTTTGCGCTTGCTCTCTTTGTGATTACCATTTTAACAGTTGTGCTGATCAGTTTGCTGACTGAAAAACCAACCAAAGAGCAGGTAACTAACCAAATTTTATGTTTTTTTTCTGCTTGACTTTTTCTGTTAGGGTTTCGAGTTTAGCATAAAACCACATTAGCTTAAATCTTTATCATAAACTTAATAAATTAACTCGAGTTTAATACAATTTGAATGATTAACTTTTTATTTTTTAATTATGAAAACGATCGAATCCAAAAACAGTCGGTGCAACCTATTAAGTTACTTAATAAACACTGAATTTATTAAGTTTTTTAAATATAGCACCTGCAACAGTAATGTAGCCACTATATCTTACATAGTTAGTGTTAGGTGCAGGCGTTCCAAATTTCGATCGAAATCGGTATAAGAAACTTGAAACTTCCGATGTATCGGTAGCGGGTGTTCGAAAAGAAAAAAACTATCATTCTGATTGGTATCGGAAAAATTTCGATGTATGTCTGTATCTCTGTACAAACATACATCCATTTTTCAATCATTTTCAATGTCTCCTTCCACACGTTTTTTTTTTTATAGATAATTCATATTTATGTCATATAGATATTTCAAATTTAATTACAGTTTTAGATCCGTTCAATGAAGTTTTAACCGGTAAAACGATTTAGTTTAATAACTGCTTATATATTTTAATAATGCGCCATATCATTTCTTCGGGTGCTTGATGTTTAATTTATTATACCTTTGTCTCAAATTTTTTCTTTCTTTATCTGGTCCATAATATTTTTACCGTAGAAATGTTTTTCATTCTGCAGTTGCATCTGACGACATTCTGCACACGATTCCAACAAGATGTTCACGATGACAAATGCCTCCCACACGCCGAAGATAATGATCGTGATGATAACGCTGAAGCCGCTGGTGACGACGATGATACTGGTGATGATGTCGTTGCCAAAAATGATCAAAAGTACGACAAACAGTCAAATAAAGCAGCCATTTTCATTAATGGAAAAATAAGCAAACTTTCCACAAATGGAGACATTCATGCAGATGTGCAAAACGTCGGAGATGTTGAAATTGGTAATCTGACGAATGAAAGGAACAAGCATGAAAGAGAATGTCAAACAAAATGTTCAAAGCGAGTTTCATCCAGTGACACGTCGGATGAAACAGAAACGGAGGTCCGTTCCTCATCCACCATCTTCGCCATCAAGAAATGGGCTCAGTGGTTCTGTGGTATCAATGGGGCGGAGGAAAGTGGGGACTCAACTCGAGAATTGAAGATGAGACTGGCAGAGTTGCATCGGTTGAAGCAGACGAGGCAGGAGAAAATTCTTCTGCACGTTTTTCTCGTCATACTCATCGTTGTTGCTTTATTGTTGTACATCGTTTTTAGTCTCGGTAGCGATCTGGGACTCTTGCGATCCCATCAAAACTAGTCCCATGCAAATTTTCATAACTATATATGTTTTATTTTTAGCACTGTACTACAGTGTCTGTTCACGACAAATTTCTATCTTTGGTAAAAAAAAGTAGAAATTTTACATGTGACAGTCAAACTTGTACGATTTAAATAATAAACTGGCTTTATTTTTTACTCTAAATTTTTGGCTACTTTCCTATTAACTTTAATTATATTGTACAAAACAGCAGTTAGTCATCAAAGAAAAAGTATTTTAACAGCATTTCGTTGTTTATATTTCTCAGTTTTTATTCAGCTTTCATTTTATACATTTTACGTTTAAAACTAAGTCGTTAATATTCAAGAGCATGCTTCTCGTGTTAAACTTTTCTCATTTCTTGACAATATTTCCAGGATCCTGAGTTTGATTGTTGTTAATGTTACAACTACTTTACTAGATATGTCTATCTGATTAAATAATTGATTTCAATTTAATTTTTTTAATTTTATTTATTAGCTTAAGTATTCATTGGTTACGGTGGTGGTGTTATATATCATCTAATAATTTCATCACACTACAGTATTTGTTGCATGTTACGTTATGTTAACGAGGCTTATGTTTTGAGTGTAGTGTTTTCTACCATTTTAATGCTTTAAATAAGCTTCGAAATCTGAAAGTAATTTCAGAAACCCGAATGTGTGTTTCAAAAATACAAATGCACGTTTTTAAAAGTGTGTTTTACAAAAAGTTTATTTTTTTGAATTTTTGTGTTAAGCTATCATTTTCGTAACCGAAAAATTATACAGGGGATGGCAATTTTTGTTTAAGCATTTCCTATATGTAAGTAGTCCATCAAATTTTTGTATTTTTATTTGCGAATCATTTTATGTATTTCATGTGGAAAATAAGTTACCATGTGATTGTTTTCAAGTGCATATACATCAAATGGTTGGTTTAAGAAATGCGTTATGTAAACATCGTTCGTAATACTTAATGATACTTCTTGTTCTTCGTTAGTGCACCACTGGTAACTTGTTACATTTGCATCATTTTTTAAATATTTACTTCATTCCTTCAGTATTAAATGACAGTTGCGTATTCATATATCCACCTATCCATCCACTTGTGATGTGTATTGTACACATACGATAAGTTTTTATATGAACCTCTGTATAATCTTCATTGAAAAAACGATGATGTTTGATACAAGCGCATAATATGAAGTTTTATTTTTCTTTCAAATATTATAACTTATACTTTTGAATGTATGATTCTATCCGGTGATTTTGTTACCTTAGAAATTAACGTTATTGTTTAGAAGAATATACCAAACGTTTTGGTTTGTTTGCGACACTCATTGTTTGCGTTGGATTGAAATATTTCGTCCATAAAATATTTTAATTTTTGATTCGTTTAAAGATCAGAAATTTTTGTTAAAAATGGTTTTACACACGCAGTGACGCGTTTGTTTCATCTTTATTTTAACTTCAAAAAACGTCGGTCACCTTATATATTGTAATGGTATCATCAAACGTCACAACTATTTTCTTTCATCTTAGAACTCTGACATGTCTTTGGAAAGCGTGTTACTATTCAAAGTTTGGTATATTTTATGCATGTTAGTTTTGGAGTTGTTAATAAATGTTTGTACATCAAATCAGTGGATATTTATTCATTTTTACTACAAAACCGATCAAACACAAGCAGTTGAATATGGTTGTTATGTATATGACAACAGACCGAAGTTTATTCAGCGTTCACAAATTTGGATTTTAAAAATTAACGCTACACCTTTATCTTAAAAAATTATCAAGCACTTTTTTTAGGAAATAAATAATTACAAACAGGATTTTGAAAATTACAATTACAACTGAAAAACGAAAATGTAAACAATATATATACCTACATACAAGTTAAAATAATTGAGCATGAAAACTATATTTTTAATCCATTGTTTTCACGAATCGGTTCAACAAAAACTGAACAATGCCACATTTTCCTAAAAATATAATCATTTTGTACGTGATTGGTTGTATTTTCTAAGTCGAGAGGTTTATTTGATATAAACATCAGATAGATTACCCAATAAAAATATTTTAGGATTATACGAACAGAAACAAATTAATCACAACTAAAACAACACAATCTAAACTTTATACAATGATACTTGTAATTATATAATTATAGTCACGTAATTTCTAAAAAAAATATTGTTATAACTGCGGCAATGGTCAAATTACACTATATTATTTGTCATCTCGATTATCTTAGCTATATTTGTGATCTATTGATTGTAAAAATCTACCATAGAGGTTTTACAAGGGCTTGTGAATGGAGATGTTTCTAAAGGTTTGAAGAAAAGATGTAATTGTGCCGTTACTTGGATTAGTTTAGTGTTTCTATTCTGTTGGCATTTGAATAAACGTTCAACCAAGTCTGCGTTTGAAGCAGTTGTGTTTATCTATTGGAAGTCTTGAACCTACGGAATAACGAACACTTGACGAACATTGGTGTTTGTTGTAATGAGCGTTAAAGTGTTACAACAATATGTTTATTTTGAACGATAAGCAATTGCAATAACTACAAAGCCTGGAGATGGAGGAGAGTCAAGATTACCAAATCGAACACATTTCAGTCAGCGGAGAACTATGTTGTATAAATATTGAAACACCTATAATTCTGCGAAAATGGGAAAAATAAGTTGAGAGAAGAAAAAAATAATTTTTTTCATTTTGACAATCAGAAAGTAAAATCAGCAAAGAAATGTTCAATAAAAGTCAAAAAACAGAACGTTCTTCCTTTGCTCATTGTGACGTGAATTTTGAAAATAAGAAACCGTTGAATTCTTAAATTTTTATTGAAATTATGTAAAAAGACAATTTTAAAAAAAATTATTAGAGGGAGGACTTGTCCTCACTGGAGAAGACGATTGGTATGGTACCTGGGAAGTTGTAATGTACTCAACTTCGAAGGTTGTAACTGTACTGTAAATAAACCAACATGTAACCAAGACCTAACAATACCAGCTTCATTTGAAGACCAGACGCCGGGGTCAAAACATTTTGTGCTTTTGAAGGAACACCTTAGCACATTTCGTAATCTTTTATGAAATGAATATTCCATTGCATTAGACTCTTCCTTATTGTGATTCAATATCATGGCGAATAAAATGAAGCTTTAGAGGAACCCTGAGAAACTTAAAAAAAATTACAGCTATTATATTTAATATGCATGTACAGTATATATAGAATATATATATATAAATTTGTTTTATTACATATTTCGGTGAAAAATTAACAATACATTAAATACAATAGAACTATGGCATTAATTCGTCGTCAATTGTGAATTACACTTTGAAGTTGAATTGAAGGTTGATGAACCGTGAAGTCAAGGAAAATTAGATGTTAATCAAACCATCGAGCTATCCAAACCGCCAGACAACAGATCAAATAATAAAGAAGTCTGCGCTTAACGGAGTGACGTGCAAACAGAAAATGTAGAAATTGTACAGCATACGTTTGCATTTGACATGATGTGTGGATGGAAAGATTTGGTCAATGGAAACAGCCTGAGTGATCACCAACTTCATCATTATTTTTTATACCCATGATAGAATATATAGTGTCACAAGAAATTAATTAAATTATATATAAAATTAAATACGTTCACCGTTGCAACTTTAAAACAAATATACTGCAGTGTAGCAAGAGGTCGTCGTCGTGGTCATCTTGCGAATGCTTATGAGAAAAAGGAGAACCTGACCTGATCATGATGACGACCTCTTGCTACACGGCAGCTATCACAGCAACCAATTTATGGAATTGTAACAGCTAATTAGAGATGTTTTCTATCTGCTAATTCATAATTTGAATTATCAACAGACAAAAAAACAACTGAAAATAAATAATGAAAAACATAGAAGACCCATTATACGACATGCAGTTAGTTCTTCAACAAACTAATTATTTAAATTGAAACAAATTGGAACCAACAAAAAGATCATCAAATAGAAAGATCACCAATAATAAATAGAATTGATATGGAACAAATTTAAAATAAATATATTTTTTAAATCAAAAAATGAACAAAACAATTGACCTAAAAATAAAAAATAAGAATAAATGAATGAAAACAGATTGTCATTAAAAATCTAAATTCATTTATATTTGATGAATGAATAGGTTAACGACACTCCGCCAGAATTTTTGTAAATTAAGTTACTTTCTCAACAATCCAAGATCACTTCCCAAACTGAAGACAATAAAGAGAACTGTGGTAAGTACGAGAAGAATGATGAGGAAGATGTAAAGGACAATTTTTTCTTTCCGCGTTTGTTTCAACTGCTTCAAATCTTCCAAATTTGTTTTCGTTTTGATGATTGAATCGACATCGTCATCAGCGGCGTTCATACCGCAGAACCATTTGAACCATTCCTTCAGAATATGACTGACGGAAAATGATTGGTGAGAGTCCTGATGGGTCGTGGAGCGCGAAATTGTTTGGCTCATGACGGCAGGCGAATCACTCTTCACAGCATGTTCAGCTGCAGTGTTGATGTATTTAAATTCGGTTATGACGACATCACCATTGTCGTGGATATTACTGAAGGATGGGTTAGCATGTTCATCATCATTCCCAGGAACGCTGTGGATGCTGGGGTTGGTTGAAACGTTGGTGGCATCATATGAGGAGGATTTCAACCTTTCGACGATGATCTCATCTCTGGGCGACACATCACCTCCCACTGACGCTCCCTGTCTCGTCCAGTACGTCGTCAGATGCAGCTGTGAGCGTCCGTTAACAAAATTGAAATAACCATCGTTATTGATTCTATTTTCTCAAATACTTTTTATACACAGCAAATATAAATTAAAGACAAAAGTATTCAAAACGTTAGCTAGCAACCTGTTCTTCAGACGGTTTCTTGGTCAACAAGCTGACCAGCACATCAGTTGCTACGGCGATCACAAAGAGAGCAACCGCAAAATACATGTAATGCAAACGTATGAGGATGTTTCTGTCATCTGATTCGTCACAATGTGGGTCAGGGTACACAAAGTTCAATATCATTCGAACCGACCCAATTAACAAACCAATCATCAAGGCCCAGAAGGCTCCCTGTTCACAAAATTCAGTTTAATAAATTCTTTTGACAAATAAAATTGTAAAAAAAATAAATTAAACTGTAAGAAACTATTATTAATAACTAATTATTTTATCTGAAAATACATCAATCAACTTCAGTTAAACAAAATAAACCTTTTCATTGGCTCGTGGCCAGAGAAGGGCGAGTAAATAAACGGCTGCTATTGGAGGGGACAAGTAGGCACCTATTGATTGGATGTAGATGTACAGCTGGGCTCCTTGCATGTTTTGTATGATGGGTATCCATGCAATACCCACCAACACCATGAAACAGGCAAATACTCTGCAAAGTTTGTTTGCTTAATGTCGATTATATTTGGCAAAAAAAATGACAAAACAATAAGTTCATCATCAAACTAGGGTAATGTACTAAGCTATCAGTTTATGAAAAATAAAAAAAAATTTAAATATTAAATTTTCGCTTCGCAAATTCCTCTCACGAGATACGTTTGAAACCAATTACAGTTGTTGCAGTTAGCTGCAGTTTTTAACAAAAGTTGCAGTTAGTATGTAAAAGTGTCAATCTATTAAAAAAACTTCTATTGCTTTTGGCATAACATAAGCTACTGTATTTGTTCATGCGGTTCAGTGTGGTACACAAAATTTTTCCTGTTTATCGGTTACAAATGATATTCCCGCGTCGTCCACGAAGTTGTGCCCATGAACGAAGGCACACCTCCCCCCTCACCAGACCATCAAATCACTGGATTCTTGAATATTCAGATCTTGTAATGCGATGTAATGTATTTCCCTTAACTTTACTCTTGGTAATCATAAACTTTTACACTTCTATTTTTTGTATCAAAGAAAGCAAATTTTACAACATGTGGCGAGAGTTTGCTTACTGCCAAGAATGAAAGAATATGATCTAAGTTCAACAAACAGGGCCTCCTAGTGGTTACGGTTAATATAATTCAAATTATTATCCTTTATCATTATTTTTTAACTGTCCAGTTTTCGTCGGATTGCAGGCTAAGGATATTTAAAATTTTAGCTTTAAATTTTTTTAGAAATGGAATTTTTATAAATTTGAAAAGTATTTTACATCTGCTTTATGATGTTGAATCTTTCACAAAAAACTGAACAAATAAATTTTCAAGATCTTGATACTCGTTTGCGATTGAAATTTCAAACGTCGCTATGATAACTTAATCTTACCCGTCCCTCATATTACATCAGTATTAAGACATCAACATGTTAACAAACGTCATCAGCATCCTCACCTCCCAACAATCATGAGTTCTCTGTTGGCAGCATGTCTTCGAAATCTGCCATAAATGTCCATAGTAAACAAAGTGCTGGCACTGTTGAATATTGAGGTCAGGTCACTCACAAGGGCAGCCAGCATGACAGACATCATGATCCCTCTCAACCCTAAGCATGGGATGCAAATTTAGAAAAGTAACAAAGTGTTTGCTTATAATATTCTTTACTTCTATCACAGTGGTTTAGTGATAAAAAATGACTGAATTTAAAATTGACAACATAAAAAAATTACTTTAAAAAAATTGTTCCAGACAGAGTGAAATTTTTAAAAACTTGAGAACACAGAAAACAAAAACTAAGCAACCGATTCACCAACCAGCAGGCATGATCTCAAGCACCAGTTTAGGAAATGCAATGTTGCTACATCCCATCTTGTTCTGACAGACTTTCATGCAGATGTCTGGATCAATACATGCCACCTCCTCTGCCATAGATTAAAATCATCGGGTTTGTTAGTTAGTTACAAAAACAAAACATTTAAAAGTTTGACAACAAAACAATGGAATGGAAACGAACCAGTGAAGAGCACTCTACTGATCATGCCAGGCAGCACAAGAATGAAGACAGGCAGAACCTTCAGGAACCCAGCAAACAACGTGCTACCCTGTGCGTGGCTCAAACTCTTTGCCGCCAATGTTCTTTGAACTATCATCTGTTAATGACAACAATATAATATGAACACATACACGTACACACCACAAAACAACCACAGAGAAAAACATACTTGGTCGGCACACCAGTACCAGATAGAAGCAGGAGTTTGACCCAATAAGAAACCAGGCCAGGGCATATCAGGATCAGTGGGCCCCCTCAACATGTCCCATGCATGTGGACTGGGCACGCCGCAGGTTGAGTTGCTTCTTGTGGCTGTTTAAATTTGCATTTGATTCATCAAAAAATTATTAAAAAAAAAAAAAATTATCAAAAACTTGATTGCAGTTTCAAATAATTTTGGAAGAGATAAGGTTTAACAGGTTTATATTGAAACTTTGTATAATATGATGTGTGGTTGTTTTTTACTTATTTTAAAACAACTTTTTCAAGTTTAAAATTAAAAAATTAATGCTTTATCTTAAAAAACAAATGTAATGCTGTTTAGGACCAAAGCCGAGCCGATCAAACTCCAATCTAACCAAATCGGCTTGAAAGTCCATGCTGAGCCAATTCAAGCTGAGTCAAATCTAGCCGCGAAGCCGATGGAACCGATCGATGGTTGCTCAATAAAATGCTGGAAACGTTTATTTATTTCACGAAAAACTGACTTGAGAATAACAATTAAGTTTCAGAGCAAGTACTGAACTGAAAATATATTCAGACCTGACGTGTATAAGCTAGCATTGTTGAGGCTGATGTTTCCAATGGGCATCAGAAAAATGAGACTGCTGTTGATGTTGTTGTTGATGTTGTTGTTGTTGTTGATATTGTTGTAGGACGAGAGGTGTGAGATGTTGTTTGTTGCGATGGCAAGTGGGTACCTCCTGTACAGTTCTGCATAACCGCCCACTTTGATGAAGCCTGTGATGATGATGACGTGATGAGGATGATGTTGGAGAATCTAATTAGCAGTCTACGATTACACCGACAACTAACTTTTTCATTACGTGAATTGAATTGGTGATAACGGTGATGTTTATGGCACTGCCGACAATAACGATGGAGATGGCGATTAAGATGGAGATACTTACGGTGTGGATGGTGAAGAAAAGAGAGCGAAAGCATAGATGATAATGAGAAAAGGATGACGAATCTAGCTGATTAGAAATAATGCTGAGGGGGCTAGTGGAAAGTTTCTACGCAGATGAAACCACATTTAACGAAAGAAACAACATTTATACAGATGTTACGATATAACGGACAGCATCTAAACGTAAAACCACATTCGAAATGCGTTCTAGGATTAGTATCTTTGAACAGACATTATTCAATTACGGCAGAAATAAATAAGAGCAATAGAAACTACAAAGCACAAACTCAACGAACTGAGTACGGTGAGGACGATGGCTCCAACGACCATAACGAATGCCTGCAGCGTGTCCGTGTAGATGACAGCCGCTAGACCACCTGGTCACCACAAACAAACATCTTGTTATTATCATTGTTATTAACATTATTATTATTATTATATTATTATTATTATTACTATTATTATTATAACAATTTAATAAACTCTGTGTTATCATCATCTTACTCAATATATTGCTATAGGAATAATGAATGAACCTTATTTTTATTGGCTTAATCCTCGATTTGTACTCATTTTTGTCAGTGATGAGCAAATTAAACTAACAGCTTATTAATTTAAATACTTTATTATATTAAACATTATTTTATATCTATCTTTATATTCATTTTGTGATATTTGATAAAATAAAAGCAGTGTTCCCATTATTACTATTATTATTATTATTATTATTATTATTATTATTATTATTATTATTTACTATAACGTTTATTGTTATTACGAACTAAACCAGTGATAATCAACGTCATAAATATCACCATAAACAACAACATTCTTCTCATGACTGTTTCACCATCAATACTTCCCTATCACAATCATCATCATCCTCATCATCCTCATCCTCATCATCATCATCAATCATTAACAACAATCCCAACAACAATCCCAACAATCATTAGCTAGCCAGCCAACTGACCAAGCAACAATCAACCATCCAACAAACCAGCCAGCCAACCAACCAACGAAACAACCAATTAGCCAACGAGTCAGCCAACCAACCAGCCAGCCAACCAACCAACCAGCCAACCAACCAACTAATAAACCAACCAGCCAACCAACCAGCCAACAAACCAACCAGCCAACCAACTAACCAGTAACAGTTGTGATAGCAGTAACAACGAGTAACAACAACACAGACAGATACAAGTTCCAGTAGAGTGCTTGCTGAATGAAGATTGCTCCAGAGTACAAGTTCACCTCAAAGCAAAAAGTTATAATAATTATTACTAATATAAATAATATCATTATTGTTAATTCTATTGTTATCATTATAATTATTTATTATTAATATTTTATTATTATTATTTTATTATTATCTTTTTTTAGCATACTCCTAATAGCTATCATCCTATCATCTTCAACATTTCAACCATAATCATTAACTCATCCGAATGGCGAATCACGTCAACAAAATGGTCATCACCAACGTCTGTATGATCATCGTCAGAATCACCACTACACTAACACCCTCAACATCGGTGCCAGCATTATCGTCAAATTATTAACTTCAACACCACACCAACATTTTCACCAAACTCATCACCCCATCACAGCACACACACACACGCACACACATACCACACACACACACACACATTCGCATACACGTCATCATCATCACCATCTTACGGAGATCTTAGTGAAGATGTAGAGCATGAGTGAGAGAACAGCCAGATATGTCCGAATTCTTTCACTGGCAAACCTCTTCTTCATGTACTCGGGCAGGGTGACTACCTATTGCAACGTGTTATACATCACGCTATGTATCATGATATGTATCACGTCATATACCAGGTTATATCACGTTCTGTATCATGATATGTATCATGATATGTATCACGCTATATATCAGGCTATGTACCCTTGTTGTGATTGTGTGATATACTATGTTATATTAGGTTATTTCGGGTTATATATAAGATTATGCTTGCTAGCAATGGAGAGAGCATTTTGTCGTGTCTGCTGCAAAGATTGTTGATTGTTATGGCAACCAGAATATGCATACAGTCTGAATATGCTGAATATACTGTAGTCATATGCAGCAGATATCGCAGACTAATAGGACAAAAAATGTGTTGCCAATGGAACTTGTTTAGTGGTAGTAATGCCAGCCATCCGATTTTGGTCACAAGCATGTTGTGTTCTGTTAATATGTGTTCTGTATATATGTAAGTGTGTATAAAATATTTAAAACTTATAAAAATATTTATAACATTTAATTTTTTTTAGTTAAATTGCAAAAATTCACAAGAAATTAACTCAAGTGCAATCAAATTTTAAGGACATTGAATTTTCCGAGGTGAATATTTGAAATAATTGAGATGCCTGCGCGTGCACAATCTTGAAGAACCTTTAAAAATGAAATTCTATACTATATATTCAGCAATGCAATGCAATGAATCAGCCAACGTGTCCTGAAGTGATGCCGTGACGAAAGTTGCGAAGTGGTAAAGATGGTGGATGACGATATTTTAACTCCGAAAAACAATTTAACGAATAATTTAACAAATAATGAAGTTCTTTTTTTCTTGTTTAACAAATATGAAATATTCATAAACAAAGTATTTTGATTAAAGGTTTCTTTTCTGAGTTGCTTATTTCGAAAGATAAGGAACTGCTCGTCGAAGACTTGACTTAAGTGGGTGTCCTCGAATTTGGCGATAAAAGAAAAAAATCCCAAAGTTGCAGTCAGACGCTGAGAACCTTTTACAATACGTGGAGATGGTTCAAGAAAAAAATTATTTTTTTCTAAACTGCCAACTTATGTTGATGCTAACTTCGATTTACCGTCAGATTCACCAGACAATGATGCTACCAACCAGAAAGTTGTCAATAGCGATAACCTGAAAGAAATTTATACTTTAATTGACAGTTTAAACAAACATGTCAAGAATTTGGAAATAGAATAAAAATAAAATCTGCAATTTGAGTGCTAAAGTTTGTTCCAGTGGTACCTGCTCATCTAAAGATGACACCCCTGTAAAAAGATCATTACCTGATATTCCAAGCGTAGACAATGTTGTACAAGATGATTGGAAGAATATTTCATACAAAAAGAGAAAAGAAAATAGACTTGTGAACAGGGTTGAAAGCTTGCCTCCTTTGTATTCTATCATAACTGCTCGGAAACCAAATTTTAATGTAATTGTTGACTATAACCTAACTGAAAAAATTGCATAGTTATTCGTCTTCAGGTTTTTTATCCTTGAAAAAATTTTCGAATGAAGAAGCCTCAAATAAAGATATACTAAAATTGGAGATATCAAATGCTGATCCTAAAGTGAAAACTTCTCAAACAAATCAGGATAAACAAATAAAGTTTAGTGAGAATGCCTCAAAAAATCAAAAAATTGTCATAAGGCAAGATTGGTTAGTTAAAGATCGTTTCTAAAGTTAATTTGAAGCTTCCATGTGTTTTTTTTATGGTCGCAATTCTGTTGACCCCAACAAACACAAAAATTAACCCTGCAATGTAATTTATTTTAATGCTTTTTGATAGTTTAATTTTCAGAACAAGCATCAACGCATAGAAGCATGCACAACGACATCTGATCGAACTTTCATAACTAACTCATTCACATTTAACGATATAACGAATAAAATTCATAAAAATATCCACAAAGAAATAAATATTGAATGCAGTCAAATGAACCTGTCTTTCACTGACGTAACTATGATTAAAAAAGTTTACAACAAAATATTCAATATGCAACAGAACCACGTCTGAACAAATTTATATTATATTCATAGACACGCAGGCACACACACACACAAACACACACACACAAACAAACAAACACAAACATATATACATAATATATATGGACATGCATAAACCAGCACAAATTGAGATGCAAGTTACATAAGGAATATTAATCACAAACTAAAAATTGCAAGTTCAATAACACTTCAGACTTGCAACCAGTGCATAAATTAAGAATGAAAATATGATGAAAACGTGATGTTGTAATGGTGATGTTGTTAGTCATGTTGTGTTTATGATTTTGTGAAACAAAAAATTTTATGTGAAAAATCACGAAACCCGTAATGATTTACCCATGTAAACTATTTGAATGAAAAACAAATGAAAAAAAGATCATGTTAAATAACTTATCAGCTAATTATTAATCGAGCAATTGTACGATCAACTGACAGATCAATTATACAATCACACTTTGCCAGTCATCGAACCAATCAGTCAGTCAATCAATGAATAAACCAGCCATCCAACCAAGCAACCAGACAACCAGCCAATCAATCCACCAATCAACCAATCAAACACTCACTCAGCCACCAGCACTGAACTAACCCCACTAGCAATGTAGACAGGCAGGAAGACCCAGCCCAACAACTGAAGCAGGAAACATGACTGCATACATGTCGTTGTGTGTTTGTGTGTTTGTTTCAATATTTTATAATGTGCATATATCAATACAATATTTTTGTTATTTATTTTCATTGCTGTTCAACATTCTCTACCTTATCAATCAATCAATCAGTTAAGTGACTAATGATAACCAAATGAAATTAAGTAATTAAACAGCCAGTCAACCAACCAACCAACCAATCAACCAACTAGCCAACCAACCAACAAACAAACAAACCATTAAACAAACTAACCAACCAACAATCCCACAAACCAATTAACTATCCAACCAACATTGAGTTCAAAGGCACCAACAGCAATCCCACTGGCGGCTCCCGAACCAGCCAACCCAATGAAGTGCTCACTGCCTATGTTGCTCGCAAATATCGAGGCACCTACCTGTTGCATATTAATAATTTATATTTATCATTTTATAATATTAACTAGTATTTTAATAACTACTCAAGATATGATACACATGCTAATGATGATGGGAGCAGGAACGGGTAAGTAAAACCCTACATTTCTCAGAAGCCGAATATGAAAAATTAACAAAAACTCATCCACACTGCAAAACATTTGGTGACAAACTTCATAACCTTAACATGAGGAAATTGTTTGAGAAATACTATGAATCTGATTAATAACAAGTTGGGTTACTGAAACATTGTTTAGAATGATTAAATGAGATGGAGCTTTAAAATGACATGATTATGTCCTGTTTCATACATACTGTAAAATGATTTATAATGACCATTCAAACAGACAAAGGCTTATTAAAGAAGTTAAAATAAAATTAATGTAGGTAAATAAATTTTATTTAATGATAATTTATAAAGTAAACTCAAGAGAAAGACTACACAAATTCAACAATACAACAACAACACACACAGCATAAAAAAACACAACACAACAATACACACAACACAACACCACACCACACAACACAATGCTACACTACAAATCAACACTACACCACACACAACACCACATACCACAGCAACACAAAAAAACAACACTACACAACACACAACAAACACAACACAATAGTAAGAGGTACCAACAGAGAACCAGGACATGAATCGGCCAGCCAGGAAGTACCCACTTACCGTGTCCTCTGCTTTTGCACATTGCCTGGTGAAAGAAATTTTAAATTAGAGATGTGGATGACAAACACTTCCTAGCGAAACAATTTCATAAACATGCTTGACATACCTGGGCCTATTGCCTAACAAGAGATTAACAATGTACATGCATGTGTGTACTACATGTACAATCTAAAATAGAGCTAAATACAATAAGCATTATTATTTACTTATCTGTAAAATTCATCTCTAATTTAATCCCAATTGAACTCTTAGTGATGTGTGACATTATAAATTAGTACTTCACTACAAGCTTGTAGAAATAAATGTATTACATTGTAATTGCAGCAAAATTATAATATTTATAACTATTAATATTATAATGATAATAAAATAATATTGGAAACAAAGTTTATTACTTTCAACTTTAATTTTATTAGCTAACTAAATTGAAATAGGAATGCATTAAAAAAAAAACCTCAAATATCATCACACTTTAATTTTAATTAATATTATATTATAACAAAATATTATATTAAAAAAATTTAATTTTTTTTTAGTTTTTATAATTTCATCACCTTAATAGTCAAACTTCCAAGTTATGTTACATAAAAATAAAAAAAATTTATTTGTATGCAAGCAAATGCAAACAAAAAAATAATAAGTCAATAATAATAATAACAAATAAAATATTTAAATAAATTTAATTAATTAATTGTAAAATGAAAATTAATCAATTTTATAATTAATTAAATTTTTAAAAATAATTTAAAAATAGCTAACATAAATTCCAGTAGCAATAACTGCTGTGAAATAAACAGCGATAACCGCAAAATCGGCAGCATTTAATTTGGACTCCATCGCGTCGAAATACTTTTGAGATTCCGTGTAAGTAAGTAGCAAGCCGGCGAATTAAAGTTAGGACATCAGCAGATCATGAAAATGACAAAATACCATGTTGTTTAAACAAACTCTGTTTTTAAAAGTGATTCACCAAGAGATGTAACCGTGACTCTATTTTAATTTATTTATTTTATTATTTTTGTTGGTTTTTGATTATTATATTATATATCCTATATAAATATATTTTTTTATTATAAATTTTTATATAAATTTATTTATTTTATTATTTTTGTTGATTTTTGATTATTATATTATATATCCTATATATATATATATATATATATATATATATATATATATATATATATATATATATATATATATGACTTAGTTCATAAGTATTACATTAAAATTTAATTGTAACCGCTATAATTTAAACACGCATACCCATATATATATATAGAATATATGAAAATATACTCTATATATATATGTTTATATCTCTTAGAATAACATCTCGGTAAAAATGAATACATCTAAAATTCAATAAAACTTCTATAAACAACGTGCTTTCAATATTAAATGCTTCCAATAGCTGGTAAATACATGGAAAGTTTCTAACAAGAGGTAACAGGTAATGTACTTCTTCTTGTGCCTTACCTTTAAAGGACATTGGCGACCATCGACCTCCACAAAACCCGATCATTAACATGTAGTTGAAATGTGGTGATATTCCACAAATGACACAAGGACTTCACGAATGTTCTTCGTTGTTGACCGCGATCTCTTTCCCCTGCAAAATTTCCCGTGGTTGTTAGATTTTCCATTCTTTCCTCCAGCATGATGTGACCAAAAAATTTAACTGCCCACGTCGGATTATCTGTAGTAACTTACTCTTTTCATAACCGGATTGTATTAACACATCCTCATTCGAAGTATGAAAGGCCCAACTAAATTTCATAATTCTTCTCAAAAACCACACTCAGCAGCGTTAATCTATTTTCCCATTTCTTTAGAAATTGTCCAGGACTCAGAGCCTTAAGTTAGTACAGGAAAAACGTAACACCCTAGCAGTTTTAATTTTGTTGATATTTTGATTTTACTGTTGGTGAGGAGTTTTTTCATTTTAGAATATGCATCTTTTGCTATTGCTTTCCTTCTTTTGATATCCATATCACATTTAAAACCTGGGGTAATCAGACTTCCGAGAAAATTAAAGCTGTTGACTTGTTTCACCTGTTTACCATTTATGATTAGAGCTGTATCACTATTGTTTATTTTCACGCCTCCAATGGATATTCCAGGTAGATCTTCTATCTTTCTCATCATGATCTCACTTTAAGAGATTGTACAAGTCTGGAGAGAATACACAGCCTTGCTTAACACCTTTCTTTATTTTGACAAAATTAGTCATCTTGTTACCAACTTTCATTGCTGCTTTTTGGTTCCATAATAAGGTTTTTGATAATTTTCGTGTCTTTTCCATCAATGTCCAAATTTTCCAATATTTCCTTAAGCTCCACGTGTTTCACGCAATCAAAAGCTTTAAAGTAATCGACAAAACATATAAACAAGTCTTTCTTCATTTTTTTTATAAAGAAACACAAGCAATCCGATAACCCGTCCAAAACAGACCAAAAGAATTCGTCGCACCTCCTTCACCTGGCTAACTTTTCTCAATGATTACACAATGCTTTAAAAAATGAATCTTCTCTCACTATTTTACCTTGCCAAACAATTACGTGAAATAGAACGAAACGCTCTAAAGTTTAAACCATACCAACTCCCCAATATTACATAATTATAAACTAAAGAAAAAACTGAGATGAACCGTTTTGTAACATTTTATTTTGTCAGACAAACGAGCAGCATATTATAATAACGTACCTTTTACTCATTTTGATTGAAAACTAACAGGTGTTTGTTGATAAGTCGTGTTAACTGCTGGAAGCGTTAAGTAAATTATTTCAAATTAATTAAAAAAATATTAGCTCTACAATACAAAATAATCAAACGATCAATGGATTGTAAACGACAGGCTAATACAAATATATGGATTGCGAGACAATATAGATAATAAACTGAGGTTACATGGAAAGATATCATCGTAGATGCAATTATCAATTTCAACAATTAGTTAATTAAAAAAAGTATATTTAATGATAGATGGGTGAGTGTACCAAACGACGTACAAATAATACACTAAACTATCATATTTCTTATTTTCTCAAAGAACGTAGTAACATATAAAATGTGCCAGAATGAAAACTAAAAGTTAATAATAAAAATGAAAAAAAATAACTGAAATGAAATAAGGTAATGATGTTACGATAGCAGCTAATAGCACTGATAATTGTAATGCACACAAGTTGACATGCATCAATGCAATGTTAAAGTTAATCAAATTAATCAATTAATATTGTGAAATATATCATTTAGCCCTGGACACGTTGGAGAGGAAACGAATGAATGAATGAAAAAATAAAATAACAAACCAACAATAAAATGTTTGTTATGATTGTAGGTAAATAACAGCTTCAATTTCTTACTGACTGAATAACTAATAATAGCATGGACGTAAAAAAATATTTAATACAAAGAATGATAATAATATGCTTTTAATTAAGTACAAAGTAACGTAAGAAGTTTTGGGCTGTCTGCTGTCTATTTATCTGCCTCTGCCTCCTTGCTCTCATCTTTAGGTGTGTCACCGTAGGCTTCTGGCGAAAGAAATATTGTTTTGTAAAGGTTAAAAAAGGGTTAAAGGTTATTACATCCTCCCTAGGTTCTGAGGAATCAACAGCAAACAAGCAGCGCATATGAACACGTGCTAAATGGTAAATCACACACGAAGCATGTGACAGACGGGGATCTTCTTGTCATATTTAAACCTCGCCACTGCACACACTGCAAAACTCCACCAGGCAATCTTAACCACTACACCGTAGAGAGAGAGAGAGAGAGAGAGAGAGAGAGAGAGAGAGAGAGAGAGAAAGAGAGAGAGAGAGAGAGAGAGAGAGAAAGAGGAGAGAAGACCAACCTTCACTGTTATTATTTTCAGTGGTCCACAATGTCAAGTTGTCTCTGAGGAGCTGCATGATCAATGTGGAGTCCTTGTAACTCTCCTCGCTCAATGTATCAAGCTCTGCTATGGCATCGTCAAATGCAGCCTTAGCTAATCTGTAATTTATATTTATAATTAGTGAAACTATGTTGGCCATTTAGACAATTAATTCAATCATTATATGTGAGCAAGCTTTGAAACAATGTTATAGTAAAATGAAAATAAATTAAAGAACAAGTCATTGAATAAATGAATGAATAAATAAACAGACAAGAAACCTGCAAGCCCTATCAGGTGAGTTCAAGATCTCATAATAGAAAACAGAAAAGTTCAGGGCCAATCCAAGTCTGTTGAAATTTTAATAAATGTTAAACCCAGTAACTAATTGAAATTCATTAAAACTCATGTTCAACTTATCAGCTAACATAAAAACAAAATAAACTGATCAATCAATTAATTAATTTTTATAAAGCTATTTCTATCATCAATAAAAACAATCTCAAGAGAAGACAAACACACAGGATACATAACACCATCACTTGACAACGAACAATCAGGTTAAATAAAGGTTCAACTGCCATAGTATGTAACAGAGACAAAACGGAGTTTGTGATGGATGAGCAGCTATCAATGAACAATAAACACGAGATGATAAATTAGAAAAAGACAAAACCAAATTGACCATGATCATGTTAGGAATCAATAGTAGTAGAAAATTGCAAGAACCAAAAGCTAACAATGAGAACATCAAAAAGAATAACAAACAATAAAAAAGAAAACCTAATAGGGTGTGTAGGAGCAAGGTCTGCATTGGCAATGTCACTAGCAGACTTGTAGGCCACCAAGCTGGCTTCAGCTGCCTCCTTACGCTCGTTGCCCGTCGCAAACTCTGCGGTGTATCGGTGGTAGTCGCCCTTCCTAAATAAGTGGTTTTTGAACATGTTTGCCTGTATTTGTGTTAGCACAATGTTTGTACATGTACGTACATGTGTTTAACACTTTCGTGTCGTACAATACAGTAGCTGGTGCATTTGTGAATCACCTCTCAGCAAATCGACTTTAGAAGTGATGTGAGCGTGCGTTTATATTTTGAGAACTTAAATTCTATAATGTATAAAAGTGCTCCAATATTCATTCATATACCAGCAATTACATTATTCGTGCAAGTTATTATTATTATTATTACTGCAAGTTATTATTATTATTATTATTATGAAGAGATAGATGATGATATAAAAATAAGGAGCTGAACTGGGAGATAATATTATTTATTTAATGTTAAAAATTTAGTTTATAACTCTCAAATGAAAATAAAAAGTAATAGTTACAACATTTATTACAAGCATAAATATAGAAAAAAACAGCTACACAAAACAAAGCACATTTAAAATATGACAAAGATTTTCCTAACAAAATAAAATCAACAGAACAGAACTATTAGTAATTGCTTTCTCATATCTGGCATATCAGAGCCACCCTCAGTAATTAAAGAACATAAACATATGAATGTTAAACATTAAAGCTCAACAGCGTCAAGCAAACAAATGCAAAAAAAAGTGTTGGTACATCATAAATAGTTGAAACAAGAAAGAATAAAAAACAACACACTGAAACATAAACACATAAAAAAACAAGAGAGAACATAAATGAGAAACACAACAGAGTCCAAAAGTGAAAAGAGGTGAACATATACGAAAATTCAAACAAAACAGAGAACACAACTCAACACAGCACAGCACACGAAGAAGAGACAGAGAAGAAGAACAGACATTTTGTAGTAGAAAACTTTAGACTCTCCAGTCTGTGAGGCAGGGATGAGGAACTTGTCGAGAACTTGCAGAACATTCGTGCAGATCTCCTTCAGCTCCTTCTCCACCTACATTCACAAACAGTACATTTCAATGTGGTAATGTTAAATATGCAATTGCATGTTTGTTTTTGTCTATTATGTAAATTTTATCGAAATATTTGTGGCTATTAGACTTGTATAATATATTTATTATTTGAACGGTAAATATATCTCATGTAAACAAAAATTTGTAAAAATGTGATGCACAAGTATTGAATGCCTTTTGCTAAAAGATGATGATCTTAATTTCATAGCCATCATAAACTGATGTACATGATTTAAATAACTGTTTCCAAGATATATTTTGATGAAAAAAAAAACACTCGCACAAACATGCAATGGTAAATTTGTTAAAAGACATAGAGAAAGAGAAACCGAGGTAAAAAACGAAGAAAAAAGGAAAGTTTGTTACTTGAGCTTTGTAGTCTCTAGTAAGTTTGAGTTTGGCTTCAGGAACTCCCTTGCTCTCTTCCTTCTGCTCGATGCTGCTGATTATCCTCCATGAGGCCCTCCTAATATGGTGGGGTGTGATGGAGATGTCATGAGTATAATGATGATATGGCATCAGATCACAATAACTAAAGTTATTTAAACAAAGGATGAAGTATTGGTGGGTGATATAATGAATAAAGTGATGCATGAAGATTATGGTGGTAAAATGATCTATGTAACGGGCAACAGCTAACAGCATTGTGATGAGGTAATGGAGTTTTTCGAATAATCAGTTATTGAAGATATCAGCATTGAACAAGGTTATAATAATAATGATCACCTGGTGCCTATGACATTTTTATAGGCAACAGACAGGAGGTTTCGTTCTTCAACTGTCAGCTCAACACCTAAACTTGCAACTTGCTTCATAAAGTCAACCATTTCTGTTGTGATGTTGAGTAAAAATGATAATATTGAGATGAGTAATTGTATAGTGAACACATTTTCCCGAAAGTGAATTTACATTGCTATCGCAACTTCGCATTTTCGACATGTTAATTTTTTGTTTATTTTTCGAAAAGGTGTGCATCTATATAATATGGGTTGTCATGAGTGATAGAAGAAATGTGTATTATTATAAAAATATTTTTTCTTTGTTGCTGTGAGTTACATTTGCTGCAGACTATTTGCTATGAGGTTGGTGTATTTAAAATTTCTTTAAGAACTTAGTAATACACGCCTGATGACAATCTTTAACCCTGCGATGACGGCTGGGGTAGATTTCTACCCCAGAGCTACTTTCTAAGCATGAAAAAAGAAAACTACGCAAAAGCTTGGGCTCTCTTTTTATGACTTTTCCTAAAATCATCTCTTCTCTTATTTTAAAACTAAAATTTGATAAAAAAATAACGCTAGAGGGCAGTTTTGAATGCATATAGCACCTAGGACGATTGGGGTTGATTTTTACCCCAAATTAAATACACTTTTTTAAATATTTAAAACTTTATGAATGTAATGGAGAACAATTAAATTTTATGTTACTATTTTTATTCGATTGTATTATCATCAACTATAAAAAATTAATGTCAAACTTTTCAAATCTTTGGCAATAAGCAGTTCAACACTTTTTTTTCAAACAATCAGCTAAAATGGCGTATTCTGAAAGATTTACTTTAGAGCAAGCCAAACAATTTATAATTGATAATTCTAGTGACGAAGAGAGTATTAGTGAGCATGAAGAGATTACTGATTATTCGGATGTAGAATTTGCTGACGAAAAAGGAAATGAACCTTTTCTCGTTGAAGACAGCGCCGACGATGATGATGAAATAAAATATACACTTCAGAGTTCAAGTAAGATAAGATTGATAAAAAATACAATTTTTCAAATGTATCAAATAACAATAATATGAATATATAATAATACTTTCAGATGTACAAAATGACAGCTCTAATTCAGATCTAGGCTCTTCCGATGAAAGCAATGATAATGAAAAAAGCAAAACATTTGTATCTAAATGTGGAAACATAGTCTGGCAAAATGAACCAGTTTACAACAAATGTGGAAGGCGTGGTATGATGAATGTAATTCACGGGAAACCCGGTCCAACAAGATTTGCTAGAAAAAATGTAGACAGTCCTATTTCTTCATTTCATCTATTTTTTAGAGATAATATAGTTGAAAACATTTTGAAATGGACGAATAAGGAAGGAGAAGAGAAACAGATGAGTAATTGGAAGGAGTTAGATAAAAAAGAATTTTTTTGCTATATTGGATATTCTTTCTGGAGTACACAAAGCAAAAAATGAAGCTGTCAATGAACTTTGGAACAAAAAGCGGGGACGCACATTATTCAATGAAGCCATGCCAAGGGATAGATTCAAACAAATAAATAGTGCTTTGAGGTTTGATGATGCATCAAAACGAAGGCAAAAGAAAAGTGAAGACAAATTGAGTCCCATAAGAGAATTGTTTGAAATGTGGGAAAAGACATTAGAGGATGCATATATTCCTTATGAAAATGTCACTATTGATGAACAACTCCTAACTTTCAGAGGACGTTGTTCTTTCAAGCAATATATTCCAAGTAAACCTGGAATATATGGACTAAAGTTTTGGATGATGAGTGATAGTCAAACTTACTATGTAACTCGTTTACAAATTTATATAGGTAGAAAATCAAATGATGAAAAAGAAAAGAATCAGGCTCAAAGAGTTGTGTTAGATTTGTCAGAAAACTTAAAAGGTTCAGGAAGAAATATTACGTGTGATAACTTTTTCACAAGTTTGTCTCTTATCCAGATGTTGAAAAAAGAAAAGCTTACTTTATTAGGGACAGTAAGAAAAAGTAAAAAAGAACTTCCAGTTGAATTCATTACCCCAAAAAGCAGAGATGTTTTATCTTCTATGTTTGCTTTCCATAATGATGCAACTCTAGTGTCATATTGTCCAAAAAAAGGAAAAGTTGTAACTTTGATGAGCAGTATGCATACACAATGTGACCTAGACAACACATCCAGTACAAAAAAGCCAATTATGATTTTAGATTATAATTCAACCAAAGGTGGAGTTGACACATCAGATCAAATGTTAAGGCTGTACACAACTAAAAGAATGACTAGAAGATGGCCAATGGCAGTTTTCAGTAATATGTTAGACATAAGTGCTTTAAATGCCTATATAGTATGGATTTTGTTGAATCCTGACTGGAATGTTAACAAATCACATAAAAGAAGATTATTTCTGCTGGAACTGGAGAAGTAAATTTTTGAGACAAGTCTGATATATTTGCAATATTAAAATTATTTAATTTTTTTCACAGAGTATGATTAACTTTGGCCA